CCTTAGGAAATCTTTTCATCATTGAAAAGATATATTTTAAGATCACCAAATTGCCAACAAATTGTTTCACGTATTCAACAAAAATATTATGGGACACATATGCTTAATTCAACACCTTTAATAAAGTATTACGGTGTGACTCTGAGCTTAGCAAAAATGATAATAGTAAAATTTTGGTTGGCATCTTGTTCAACTATTTTACCAACTTAATATGTTTTATTAGTTTAAAAAATTCATAAGCTTCATTTTCAAAGATCAATTTTTGATATTTTTTATTAGGGACTGTCATAGGATTACTCTGACTTTTTTTTTTTTTTTACTTTACTTTTTTTTTACCTTTCTCTATCATTTTTTGAGTGTCACATCACCCATTCCAGGTCATACCTTCTACGTCTATTATGTTTACAATATCTGAATTGACTAAAATGTCATAATTGTACTTTCATGGTACTGTTTTGTCATTCTAATATGAAAAAAAAACTAAGGACTTTAATTGTCACCATTGGTCAAGAGATAGGCTTTTCTGGCCTTGGGATAAGCTTCTCATCATAAGAAATCATCACTGGTCTATGCATAAATTTCATCTTTGAATCAATGGTAGACCCCTCAACTTTTGTTGAATCTTCTATTTCTTCATAAAATTTTATATGACCCTTATCTATCAACCTTTGCACCTCTTAACGAAATAAATCATAATTCTCTATAGAATTTCCCCAAAACACCTTTGTGATAGTCGTAGCTCTCGACTAAGTTAATCATCCTAGAGCAATTGTAAAGCCCTATTGATTTCAACATATCAGCCTTAACTAAAGCTTCAAACACCTTAACCAATAAAGTTTTGACTTCATCTATCCCTCTTTTCACATAGCAAGCTTGCCCATCAATCAAAGCATTTATTGATGGTTTAATATGATTTAGTAGAGGGTTTTCATTAATATTTAGGGTCTTTTGTTGGCTGATATCAAAGTTTAACACTCATTCATTGATTAATCCTTACACCTTACACTTTAGAGTAGTGCAATTCTTTGTAGAATGGCTTGGATTTCCATAATGGTAATCATAATAGGCACTAGATCGTACCATTTGGAAAATAGAGGTTTTAATTTTTTTTAACAATAATAGGGGCTAGTAAATGTTTCTCTATAAGCTAAGGGAATAAGTCAACGTATGTCATGGGGATAGGCCAAATAAGGTTTTTTTTTTTAGATATTTCTTCAGGGTTTTAGACCACTACTTAGGTTGGGTCTCCATTCTAGTTTGATGGGTGCAGCAAGACGGTTGTATGCATATGTGGGTGTCTGAAAAGATAGCTAAAAATGGGTGGATAAGTTGGTTGTTATATCTACTGATATGGTTGATTTGGATGGGGGATGAATGTCACATTGTTTATGGAAAGGTAATAGGTTTTGTACACTGACATAGGGTATGAATCAAAACCTCTGATCTCTTACCCCACATAGTTTACTGCTTGGACTTCACTTTTTTTTTTTTTAGGAGCTTTGCATTTTTTATGCCACTATTCTCTCCTGCATCACGCTTGCCATTCTTCATGGCGTTCTCAATAATCTCACTTTAAGATCACCATATCTGTAAAATTTTGATTGCATTGCCAATCAATCTTTCAGAATAAGATGCTTTTAGGGTGTTAACAAACAAGACAATTATCTCTTTTTCAGTGAGGGGAGGCTGTACTTGTGCAGTCAAATTTATTTATTTTTGAGCATATTCCTTAATGTTTTCGATTACCTTCTTTTTCATGCTCTATAAAGATAGATGATCTAGAGCTAAATTAATGACATGTCAGTATTGAGTAAAGAATGTTTTCGTAAGCCCTTTCAAGAATGGATATGAGTCTTGTCTAATTAAACATACCATTTGGCTGCTGAACTCGTAAGGTTTTCCTAAAATATGCGTATAAGTAGCTTTTTGACTCGAGCATGCGTCATTATCTTACGATAATATATGGTGATATGATTCATTGAATTTTATGCCATCAATTTTCAAACTTAGGGACCTTGAATTTAGATGAAATGACCATGTTTGGGACAAAAAAAACTCAGTTGCATCCATGGAACCATAAAAATCCATTCATTCTATGGCCTCAATCTTTTTTTTAATAATTCATCTTCTGCAGTGCATTTGTGTCTTCTAGTTTCTCAAATGTTTTCATCCTTAGCTTTTTTTCTTCTTAGGATCATCCAAGTTAGGAATCAAGATCAACTTAGATGGTTTCTTACTATGACAGGATTAGCAAAATTTTGAAACTGTCATGGAACAGGTGTGGATGTTATTCTTGGACAAGGATATGAATATCCTCCAAGAGTAGGAATTTGTACTCTGGCTCTTTGAAAAGTTTGGGGTGGTTAAGACTCAAACCCTGAAAGGGATATAGGATTTACCACGTCTAGCGATTGCTTTTGAAAGTTAGGATTTCTTTCTATTGCTTTTCTTTTGTCAAGATTCTTAAGCATGTCCATTATATTATTAAGATCTTCTTTAGTTTTTCTTCCCTTTTCAATCCTCTCAAATCGATGGGTCTTCTTGTTTCATGATTCATGTTTGAGCTTTGTGTTGTATGAATGTCGAGTAGGTTGAGTCAAAATTTTCGATAGGCATGCTATTTCTTGAACTTGAATTAATCAATCAATGTTCCAATTAACATTAAGTAGTTCAGAATGGTTCAAGACCAGTTCAGTTAGACAGGATAAGAAGTCAAACTATCGTAATGGTTATTGATTTGCTCGAAGAATTTGGAAACGAAAAGAAAAAAAAAAGAGTTTTCACCAATCATTTTTAGCTAGGTGCGATTGGCTACTTATTAAAACATATCATTTTAATAAAATTTTAAAATTAATTAAAAACATAATTTTAGTGTGTGAATTAGTTTAGGTTCAAGAATTAGTTACGCGTGAGGAACGATTAGTACTTCTGTAATGCTCTTTTAAAATGTTACCAATTAATTACTTTTTATCCTTTGATTTTGATAAAAACGGTGTTAGTTTCGATGTTTAAGAATAATTTCCTTATATTCCTTTATTTATCAAAATTTTGTTTATTTATTATTTTTTATTGTTTTCATTTTATTTGAGAAAAATAAATTGAAACCTTTTATTGAAATAATTTTTAAATATTTCAATACGTTGGTAATATTAAAAAAATTTTTCTCACATAGAGATTTCAGAGACATCACTTCTCAGAATATTTTAGAATCCATCATCGGGGGCTTGTATTTAATTTTCATAAAAATAAGAATGTGCATGCAATGCAAATGACAAAATATCGATGCGTATTTTATTTTTCTTTTAAAAGTTTTATTAGTTTTTTAATATTTTTTTTTGAATAAAAAAAAATTTTTATCATATTGAAAAAATTTTATAAATACTCCAATATACTGGTAATATTTTAAAAAATCTTCTCACTTAAAGATTTTTAAGGTATCACTACTCGGAATACAATAAAATCCATCATTAGGCAAAAATTTCTTTTTCCCCATTTTTATTATTTTGTATTAATAATTTTAGTTAATTTTTATTTTACTTTAAAGTGATAAAGGAAAATTTATATTGTATTGAAAACTTCTTATAAATACTCTAATATATTAATAATATTTAAAAAATTTCTCACATAAGAGATTTCGTAGGCATGCGTATTCAGAGTACCTTAAATCTTGTCATGAATAAAAATTTCTTTTCTTACATTTTTTATTATTTTTTGGTTATTTTTCCTATTTTTTCAAATTTAAAAATTATCAAAGTTTAAGAATAATTTTTTTAATATTGTTAGTATTATAAGCATTAGTTATTTTTTTATTATATTATTTTATAAAGTTCATTTTAACTTTTGGTATAATTATAAAAAATTTAGACTTTATTTTTCATTATTTAGTGTTATTTATTTTTTTTCATTTTTTTATTAATTTCATATATATTATTTTGTTTTTCTTTTATTAATATTATTATTATAAAAATCAACAAGTATTATTCTAGCAAAGTTAAAATTCTAAACATGCATAAATAATAACTATAAAAACTAAAAATAATAAAATAAAATAAAAAATTAAATAAGAAAATTTTTTACCTAAATTAAACCGATCAATGGTCCAGTCAACGTTGGTCGTCGGTTAAGTTGGACTAGTTATAGGCCTTGGTTGAGGCAGGTTGCCAATCACGCGTAGATCCTCAAGGCTTAAAACAACATTGTTTTAGCTCTAGGTGGTTTTATATATAATATGTTTTTTTTCTATTCATTTCCTTTCCACTCTAAAAAAAAATCTTTTTTTTTTTCTCTCAAACAGAACCCCAAGGGGGCCAGCCGATCTCCAGAAGATAATTGTTGTTGCCAATGATTGAAAAACCCCAAAAAAAAAAAATTACTCTTCTCATCCTCTTTATAGATCCAATCCTCTTTTCACTAAAAAGAGTCCAGAACGGTCTAAATCTATTCTTCAAACTTTTGATCAAAACTTTTTATTTTTTGTTTTAATCCAACACTCGGTTTCCTCACTAGAAGGACTTTGTTCTTTGTTTTTTTTTGTTTTGCATTTGTTTCTTGCTTTTTTATTTGGTAGTGATTTTTTTTTTTGCCAAAACTCCTTTTTTTTTAATTTCTTCTCTCATTTCTTTTTTTTTTTTGGTTGTTTTTGGTAAGGTTTCTTTTTCTTTTGGCAAAGCTTTTTTGTTTTTTGCTAGGTTCTTTTCTTTTTTTTTTTTTTTTGTAGAGCCTCTTTTTCTTTTCTTTGGTTTGCTTCATGGAGCTTTATTTGTAGAGCTCCGATTGTGGCCCACTGCCAGGGTAAATGGCAGTAGTTGTTGCTGTCATGGCTAATAAGCAGGGTAAGTGGCTAAGGTTTCAGGTACTTAGAAGAGTAGGTGTTTTTTTGCTTTTTTTTTTTTGTTCAGTGTTTAATTAATTAATTAATATTTTTAATAGTATTATTGTATTTTAATATTTAAAAAGAAAATAAAAGTGAAAATAAAAAATAGTGGGCTGAGATCCAAAAAACGAAATTGGACACTGGCCCAAATGGATTAAAATCAGACTCGACCCACGAACTCGATAAAACTCGAACGAATTTAAAATTGAAATTCAACTTGAAAAATCTGAACAAATTTAATGTTTACACTTAAAATGACTCCTATAAAAAATTTTTATAAACCCCACATAATATTAAATTTTGAATAAGTAAAAGCATTGTATTACCTGTAGATGATATACTTGTAATTTGAACTTTTAGTTTTGGAGTTTAAATAAATTATCTAGATAACAGACGTGAAATAATTGTTTCCATAAAACTATTCTTTCGAATTGTTTAATATATAGGCATTGTTAAATTTCACTAGCCTACTTGAACCTATCTTATATCTAGTGGTAGGGTAAAAGTAAAAAAATATGAATGCATTGACAGCGCATTTATGAAAGGAAATTAAAATGGATTTGTAGGAGTGGCTTGGGGCCGGGCAATCCCATCATTTTCTGAAAACAAATCAACTTCTATAAGTCGTTTCTCAATAGCCGGACTAAAAATCGCAATATTTCCAAAATTAGATATTTCTTTTACAAGAGTAGAAATTTTGAAAATGTACAAAATTGTGAACTCCAGAAATGGACCTTGTGCTTTTTAATATTTCTCAACACTACATGTAAGCTAATGTCACTTCATCGAAGAATTGAATAATTGAGCTCACTTCTAATGTCATCTTCATCGAAGAATTGAATAATTGAGCTCACTTTTGAAGTTGAGTTTTTCATAAAATAAAAAAATAAAAAACATTGAAATTCGAGGATGAGTTGTAGTTTTAATCTTCTAGGTTTTTTTTTTTTTTTTTCAGTTTTAATCTCACTTTCATATAATAAAGTAATATCAAGTATATCATAAAAAAAAAAAAACTGATATTCTTTTTTTTTAAAAATTGATACAACGCTTCAAAACTCTAAAAATTTTTAGCTCTTGTTTCCTTATTGCTTCTCACACAACAGTTTCAAACTTTTAGCAACTAAATTCAATGGTTTTCACTCTGGCTTGTTGTCTAGGTTTACTTACTCTTTTCTTCAGTGTGTTTGTGTCGTTTATATATGTTCATTCAGAACCTAGTATACCACATAGTTTAACATTACTCAAACAACCTTTCTCAAATAGTTGGCTGTGGAGAATATGACCTTTCAATTACCAGCAATCTATGTATTTGGAAACTCATATGTGAATGCTTGTAATAACAATTATCTTGCCACAACAGTCAAAGCCAATTTTTTACCCTATGGAGTCGATTTCGGAGGAGTTCCAACTACTGTAGGCTGAGTGTAAACATCTTCCAACACAACATATAGATCACACAGCACAAATGTGGATCCCTTCAAGGACATTTTTTAACTTTGTGAACAAGTTGGAGAGGAGTCCATTATGGAAAGCTACTCTCTGGTTAACATTTTCAACACATGAAGTATTTTTGGTATTAAATTGAAAGGTTGGCAGCCTAATGGAGAAACATTGTTAACCAGGAATTTCCTTGCTTCTAGTTGACATTGCTAGCATGATAATTAAAAATGTACAAAATAGAAGATCCAATCTTTAAAACTATGTAAAGAGAAATTTAAAATAGTGATTTACCTCCAATCGACTGTACAACCTGTCTGGTGAGGAGAGTGTGTAGTCTTCTCCAGCTCGGATGTGTCGATTTTGTTCAATTTCCCAATATATTTATATATATTTCTAAGTCATTGCTCCCTATTTGGATAAAGAATAATGACTTGGACATGTAGAGAGAAAAGCTTTTAGGGCTGTCCAAAAGACTTTTCAAGCTTGATGTTGTAAGTGGCGAATTCAAGATTTTTTTCCGAGAATCACGTATAATATTTATAAAAATGGATTTACCAATTTTGTTAAGCCGTTCACCCAAGCTTAAAATATGTCCCTCGTGTAGTATTAACAATCAAAAAGTCAAATATACCCAGAAGTGTAAGTTTTGGTGCTGGTCAACTCTAGCGATAGAATTTTGTTACTAAAAGTTAAAAATTTTTTAAAATGAAATATGCAAATTTGTGACTAAAAAATATTGACGACGAAAATTTCGTCCCTAAAACATGAATTTTTGAAAATTTTGAGATATATATATGAATGAGGATTGATCCTTATTCATAGAGGACCGATCCTTCACTCAAAAGGATTGATCCTTTTCACTTTTTAACTAATTTTTCAATTACAAGTCCGATAAAAATCATTCATACCAATCTTAAACTAAAAATTACCAAAATTCAACATTCGATTTTTCATATAACTTTCTAATATCCATCACATAACTATTATAAACATTGCTATTTAATTAACGAATAAATCCACAAACATTTTTAAACATTCATAACCATCAATAAACTTTTTCCTCCTGTTTCAAAATTTTTTCTTTGGTTTAAATCAATATTTCCTAAGCAAAGCCGACTAGCTCAAATCTTAAGAGTGGAACTTAATCATTTCAATAGTTTCTGTATAGTTCTATATAAATTCTACTTCAACAACTTCAAACTTCCTAACGCTAGAAAAGGTAGGCCAGCCTTGCATTTCTGAGCATGTCATCATGCATTGATCGTCACATCTCTGATCATTAACTTCACCGGCAATCCCTTCTATTCCTAAAGCGTGGAAAATGTCTAGTAGGTATAAAATTTTAACAGAAGTCAACTTAACAGTTTTAAACATGTAAGTGCGGGTGTAATTGATGTTAGAGTCATTCACAAGTTTATTTAATCACAATTCAGCCAAAAATTATATTATCACAAATATGTAAAAATTAAAAAAAGAAATGAAGTTACTTTGTTGCATCGGCAGCTGCCGTCATTCTTGCACCATCCCTACCTATCACAAATTATCTAAACACTCTGTCAGTTTTCAACAATGACTTGTTGATCGACCAGAAAGCTTTTTCCCGCCCAATTTTGATAATTCGAGAAGTCAACTATTTGTTGGTTGACTTGGGTGCAAAATTTAGTGCTTACATCCACCTTTATCAAGACTTGTGCCGATACTGCCATTACAATCTTGACATCATTTGCAGGTTGTGCATTGACCGCATTCAGGTGATCATCAGACCGCTCTTGTGATTGAGCTTTATCCTTTTTCTTTGAACAATCTTTCTTCATGTTCCCAAACTTCTTACAGTAAGAACATTGTACTCTTTTCTAGACTATGGTCTAAATTGATTGTTGCTTAAATTACCACCTCTTGACTTGTATCTCCTCCGAGTAACCAAACCTTCACCCTGGTTGTTTTCATCGGCTTTACCAGTCAATTTATTTCACAACTCAGTGTGGAACCTAAGGTATTTTTCATATCCTCGAGAAATTTTTTCTCGTCCATAGAACTTTAGTACCGATAAATTCGGCGTCAAGGATTGGTAATGAACATAAAAGGATCATCGCGTAGTCTTCATAATCGATTTTAGTATTGATATTATTGAGATCTCATAACAATGGAAGTTAAATGTATCTAAGTGCTGGAGAATAGGTGTACCTTTCCTCCACTTTAAGGTTGGAAAGTTGCTCCTTGAGTAGAGGCCCGGTTGTGTACTTGCTTCCAATCAAGTCGCAAACTGGACATGATAGTTTTCATTCAATACCGTCCCTAATACTTAATCTTGAAGAACTTTAATTACATAGCCCTATGTGCCTTATCCATCATCCATGTCCTGGTTTTGGTCCTTGAAACCGATTCAACAAATTTATCATTTACCTCCCAAAGTTTAATCAATCCTTGTTGGAACCAACATCAACTTGCATCTTGATGTGGCATAAACAAAAGGCTATTCTTTTCGGTAAATTTCTCGACTTCTTGTTTGGTCGATGACACACATTTGCAACCATATTAACAAAAAATCCCATATGCTATATAGTACAAATACAATCACAGTTTTATACCAGACTACTATAATACAACCGAGTACTAGAATTCTCTAGCGGCTATAATATACTTGTTGCTTCAGTATACTGCAAATATTTTATTTGATCCAGGGCTGAATCAATTGGGTCCAAGTCAACTAGGCTTGGACCCAATCCAAGCTCAATTATCCAAATTTTATTTATTTTATTTTATGATTTTATCTTTATTTTATCCACATATATATCTTAATTATTTATTTATTTCTTTTTTAGTAATTTCTTTATTTGATTTTTCTATTTTTGTTATGGTTTATCTCTAATTTTAATTTTATTTATCTTTAAATATTTTATTTTATTTTATTTGATCTCACTAGCTTTTTTTTAAAAAAAATAAAAATTAAAAAAAAGGAAAGAGATAATGGAAAAAGGATAAATGGCTGACGATCAATGGGAGTGGCCGGCGATTTGGTTGCGATTATCCATATTTGAAATTGAATAAAGGTTTTTCTTGAAGATAAACCTAACTTTCCCTTCAATGATTTAAGTTTTGAAGATTCCAAGTTTTATCAGAGAACTAATCAAGCCTAAATTTTTTTTCTATAAATAGTCCTTTAGTTCACAGCAAAAGGACAACAATCACACGCGACAATTAGAGATAGCAAACACAACAATCATAGGGCAATTTAGAGTGAAAAAAAAAAAAAGAGGAAAATTAGAAATTCGAGAGCCATTCTTTTAGCAATAGGGTTAAATTTTAGGCAATATATTAATTGTTAGGTTTGAAGGATTTTAAAAATGATTTTGAAGGAGAATTTATAGGCAAATAGATCTCGAAAGTCCAAAGTTGTCACGGGGAGTTGTTGAATATTTTTTTGCATTCTTTTCTTTTTGGAAAAATATGAGACATTTTCAGATTTCGATGACATTTAAGTTTTTTCACAACTATTCTAGCTAAAATTCTAGATTTTGA